GTTCGAAAACCTAGTGCAAATCTATATTAGGTGAAATAACCCATTTCTGCCTATTTTCGCGTAAAATTAGAAAATTCATAACTTACTCAAAACTGATCCAGGCTACCTCAGAATATCAAGATGCACTCAATTTTATCTGCTCAATGAAATTTTATAAGTGAGAGTGGTATAAAATATTCTCTTACTTCGGACGATTTCTAGAAAACCTTTTGAAAAACCCAAGTATTTTATGTTGGTCTATAAAAGTTCTATCGAACTTCATGACATGTTGCAGATAAAATCGAGTATATCTTGATATTCTGAGGTAGCCTGGATCAGTTTTGAGTAAGTTATGAATTTTCTAATTTTACGCGAAAATAGGCAGAAATGGGTTATTTCACCTAATATAGATTTGCACTAGGTTTTCGAACTTTTTCGAAAAACAAATGCTGCCACAAGACTCAGCTGGTTGATAACCTATGTTTCCACGCGTTTTCAAATTTTCTAAATATTAAGAAAATTCGGTTCTGAGGTGTCTCAGGAAAAGTCCGTTCCTGTCTGAACGATCGAAGATGGAACTGTCGGGTTTTGACAGATATGTAGACTAGATATCGCTCTATGTTAGGCGTATTTTCAAACATTAGACTTGTATGAAAGTTAGGGACCGGCAATCTTACCTTTGGAACATCGATCAGGTACACCATGGTAGACCTCATTGGTAGAATTGTTTTACACATAGAAAGATGCTGTCAGATCCTGGCTACAAGACACTGGAAGCCGCAGCTCTTCATCTTGTTCCGTCAAAAAGTTATAAAGAAATGATCGTGGTCGCTGCTCATTTGGACAGATAATAGTAAAAGTTTTCGCGACTTCTTTTTTGAAATTGTAGGAACGGTCCTTCAATGCGCTAAAGTACTCAAAGCGAAAACACCTCAGTTTTTATGGCATGTTTTTGTTAAACGTAAACAAAGTGATTATTTCGAAGACATAAAAGAAAATTTAGGTGACAAAACAGTTGTTTGCCAGGTTGATTATGCAGAAAATTTTACTTTGGACACACAAAATCAAATTCAAGCAGCTCATTGGGCAAAGAGACAGGTCTCGGTCTTTACAGCGTACACGTGGATGGGCGGCAGCGGTGGTGATGGTCATTCTTTTGGTCTGGTCTCAAATTCAACAACACATGATAAATACACAGTAATTACCTGTTTAGAGCTTTTAATTGATGAAATAGTTGATAGAATGCCGGATGTTGGTGAAATCATTTTTTTTTCTGATGGTGCTGCTAGTCAGTTTAAAAATCGTTATCTTCTTCAACATTTAACAACAATGATGGACAAAACTGACTTAGATTTAAGCTGGAACTACTTCGCTTCGTCACACGGAAAAGGTATCGTCGATGGAATCGGTGGTACCTTAAAACGACTTGTATGGATGGAAATTTTGGCTGGAAAACGATGTGCGTCTGCTCAGGATTTCGTTGACATCTGTAAAAAAAAGTCAAAAGTAATTAGCACTGAACTTGTTAGACAAGTACAATTCGATGTAACTAGAATGACACTTAAAGAAACATTTGAAAAAACAACTGCGTTACCAAGAATT